TTATAAAATACACAGAGAGCAGACATTTACAATACTAGACCAGACTTAAACAGACCAGTCCGGACCAGCAAATTTCAATCCAAGTAAAAACATCCTTAGTTCTCTTGATACGAAAGATGACAAAATTTCTAATATGAAATTAGAAATTTTGTATGAATTATAGAATCTAGTAAGTTTATAGATGGTGTATAAGTAGATAATTCTATTACTCATTTACCCAAAATCTACTAAGATGTAATATTCGAGCATAATTTTACCCAAAATTAGGAAATCACGTTTTTGTACACTATCCACGTTTCTATAATACGTTTGTAATTATTTCTTTTATTTTCCTTTTAGAAAGCTAAATATTCTTGTTTGAAATTATCCAAATTGTCACTAATAACTAGACTTAGATCTGGATAATATACATGACCGAAAATTGGCACTAATTTATCCAATTGCGGTTGAAATTATTTAATGTGAACACTTAGTACTAATAATAAGATTAAAATTGAATCGACCTTGATCTATATCTCTTTGTGTCACCCTTACAACAAGTTCTAGATCCATCGCAGCAAAGAATACTCTGTTTTTTATAACTTGATTGAGTTGAATAATTTAAAAAAATAAATAAATATCTAACTCTGAAAGACTATGGATATTTAAATCGGACATCACTGCTTGGGCCAAATATTTGGGCCGTATTAATGAGACTGCATATTAGTGAGTAAAAATTAAGCTATGATCAATCAAATGGATATATTTCAACTGAAAGTCCGAAACTATTTCTAATTAAATTAAATTAAATTAGTATTAATCAAGTTCAGTCATTTATAATCGACACTTTTAATTTTTATTTATAAACCTCTAACATTTTTAAGCACTTATGATAAATTATTGATTATAAGATAGTCATCATGTTGAAGAATATTTTATTGTGTATCAAGTTTGTCAAGAGCCTTGTAGAAGTATAGCTTTTATTACTCCTTTATGTATTTATTATGTGTATTTATTAGAGTAGTAAAGGATATGGGGTCCAAATGTCTGGCCCATATACCTGGCGTAAAGCCCGTACGCAAACCTACATGCGCATATAAAAAGGCGCTTAAGGGTTAGGTTTGCGTTAACTTTTGCATTCGATCTTAACAGCCTCAGAGCTTATCATTCTTACTGTAGAAGTTCACGGTATATCAAAGACGAGTTTAAGGATCCCCAGTGTATTTATCTTTCTGTTATTCTCATCTTTGTGTATCGATTCATTGTTGTTAGTATAAACAGGGACAAACACATCATCTAGATTAAATATTTCGAATTTTAAATACCATGTATCATCCAGAACAAAGAATAATAGATTCTTATTATTGGAATTAAAGATTCAATGACATAATAAATATCCCATAAACATCGAATCTCACATCTCTTTATTAGAGCATCTTTAATGGTATTGTGGATTGATTATACTCCTAAAAAAATGGACATGTCATTTATGTAAAGGGTCGTCAAGCTGATGTGGACAAATACACATTTAAAATATTATTTATGCTCCAATGGTATCCTGAAGTTAAAGAATGAGTTCACTGAGAGTTCCCAGGTAGCAGAGGCTTTTTCCGGCGGCACATGAGTCTTTGGACATATGGAGTAGATTTTTGTTAATTGTTTTGTTGCCAAATAAATAGAATTGAAATAAAATTGAATAAAGAGATGATAACTTGCTAAGTCACAATGTTGGAAAGGCCTTCTCAAACTAGAAGTTACAACCGACAGTGTGTATATTTTGAAGTGCCAACCTAGCGGAACTGTTAATTTAGACATCTACGTTGGAGGGGTTATTTTTACTCTACGCTCAATTTGTCTCACGTGGCTGTGCATTCTCAAGAGTGCACAACACCATTAAAGATGCTCTTAAATAACTACCAATTCAGTAGAAAGCTTATATTACTCCAATAAAGAGGACTTTTCTTTTCACTTTTAATCTCACTAAATATCTATCAGATCGATCTCATTATCACTATTTTTTTGGATGAAACTCATTATTATCACTAAAATTAAAAGCTACGAGTAATAATATGTACTCCGTATTACTCTTTTCCTCGTTCGCATAATCTCAAACGTTTAGCAATGCCTCTGTTTATAAGTGTGATAAGTATGTTATCCAACACGTTCTAATGTGTGAAAAAGTCATTTGTACACATTACTAATGTAATTCCTTGCATTATTTTCTCTAAAATCTGGTAAAAGTCATTCTAGAAATACAAATGCCCACATAAAACATGATAAATAAATCTTAGGAAAATAATGCAAGAAATTATTGTAAAAACGACTTTATTCTACATATTAATATGTGCTGAAATATTGACTTATCAAGTTGTGGTGGAATGATAATTTAGGACGGTCGGTAACGTTCTCACTTAAAACTTTTGTTCATTTCCATCATTAGCTAAGTGTAAGGCATTGAAAACAAGACTAAAATATTGCACCATCATGCCATTTCATTAAAGAGGCAACCACGATCGTCATGGCATGACGTGGCGACGAAAGGCAGCAAAAATTCGAATGAAAAGAGGTTTCCCTTATCAATGTAAGTAAAACTAGTATTATATTATAAAAAAAATACCTTGTAATAAAGAACTGACTTAACCTTGATTTCTCTATCACCATAAAAATAATATGTACTCAACTTTTATAGAAGTGTGTTCTTTGAGTGCTTACTTATTTTTTAATGCAGCTTTAAGATCTTTATATTAATCTTTAAGGAACAATTAATCTATAAATGCAAGTACATTGATTTTTTTTTACCAAAAGGAAATTTTATTGAAAAATGAAGGGAGGATTACACCAAAATAGGAGAGAAAACAGAAAAAGAAGTACAAAAGGAAAATGAAAAGAAAGAAGGAAAGAAAAAATAAAAATAGATGGCCCCATGGGAATTGCTTAGATTGTCATAGAGCCCGCATGCTATGTCTCATTTTGTTCTGCTGGGATTTGCGATAGATTTTGAGCTGTGTATTCAGATTATCAATCGAAATGTGTATACATTAGTCATCGAAATGTGAAAATTCAAAATAAATGCACGTGACCATTTGGGAACTAGATCGGGAATAACCGAATAAGCTAGGTAAGTTGGGATGAGACAAAGTGCTGGCCCTACCCAGTCTCGATACCCTCCGCCCCCGCCCCACATGCAATTAAGTCAGGTTGATCAGAAACCTATTCAAATTGAAACGGGTCTAGTCAAGGTTTCTACTGATCCAAGTTCTGGTCCAAACTGGTTGAATCAAAATTGGATCTTTTATATGTGTCATGTATGTACCAATATTTTGAGTATTAATTCGAATTTTACCTTATTTAAATTATGAACAAATTTATAACTTTGTGTACCAATATTTTGAATATTAAAGCATTAAAAGCTAGGAAGATACATTGTATATAACTATATACAGATCCTCAATTAGTTCTAAATGGAACTGTTTGTGGTTAAACAACCAAAGCTATTGAATGAAACGCCTTGAATCCCTTGATGCTTCATAGTTTCTCTTCCATGAAGAACTTACATAAGTTCTGATTTAACATAGAATTTTGACATTCTAAAATTTAACTATTTTAACTTAAAATTCTTCTACGCGTAAACAAATGTAATTTTCCAACAATGTTTTTATCATTTTCACTCCCTAAATGACAAGATACAATATTCCTTGTTTGCGCAATTCTATATGTCCAAATGTTTTTCAAGTATATTCAATTTGGCATTAATATGCCCAAAAGCAACAATGTGTGTCTTCCCATTGATTCCGGTGTCTATCAATAACAAAGGCACAAGAATTTCACAATCTTCACAAAGTTCCAGTTCAGGTTCCATATTCCCATGGAGGCAAGGATAGTAGGTTATATATTCTTATCGGTTTTCTCTATTTGTGACATAGTATCTTTAGATCGACTAAGAACGACCAGGATATGACAGTCGAGCATACTCAACCACCATGGGCAGTTCGGGGGGCAGTCATCATCACAGGAGGAGTCACCCGTCGCTATAATCAGAATATTGGGGTATAGGTTGGGTTGTAGTACTGAATACTGGTTCCAATCAGGTCCTACCCAATCATCCTGGCCGATGTTGGAGCATTCATTGGAAAATTCTTAGTGTACATCCTGGGTTACACCCTATTTATTTGTCATTTGCACAGACAAAAAACGTATAAATACAAACACTTTCGATAAAATTGTCGGTGTGAATAAAATTAGTTTTCAGATCTTCCAGACTGATTGCACGGAAACCAATGTCGGTGTACACATACATTAGTTGTCTATGTAGACAAAAAAGTGTCGGTGTGAAAAAATTGGTTTGCAAGTGTCGGTGTACGTAGTTGTCTGTGTAGAAACAAAAGTTTATGTACATATACGATTTTCGTCTTTGTACACAGACACTAAGAGCAAACTAGTGTCGGTGTGCATAAACGTAAAAAGAAGGAGATGATGAACAACAATGATTCAAAGAAATCGATTCTAAAGTTAGCTAATAAAACGTAAAAAGAAAAGAAAAAGAGAGAAGGAAAAAGAACATGATCAAGAAGAAGAAGAAGAAGAAAGATGATGAAGGTGAATAAAACATAATAAGAAAGAAAAAGAGAGAAGGAAAGAAAAAGAAGATGAAGAAGAAAGGAGAAAGGAAGAAAGAACAAGATTATGAAGGAGAAAGAAAGAAGAAAGAGAGAGGGGGGGGTGTTAGTATGGTCAAAAGGGAGAGAAGGGGAGAGAAGAGAGTGGGGAGGAAGGGGAGAGAAAAAAGTGGGAATAGAGGAAATAAGAAATGGGAGGTTCAGTTCCTGTACTGAATACTGATTCCGGCCAAGTGCTACCCAACCACCGTTTCTAATTCCGGGGCGATTGGTTCCTGGTCCCCAAAGGAGATCAACCATACACAGAACCACAATTTTTAGGTACAGGTAGGGTTCCAATACCGAATACCTTCTTCCAATAAGATTTTGACTAATATAACCAAAACTGGTTTCACAAGAAAGCATGACAAAATGAGTAAAGATCGCCAGAAAATAAAAACTGGAACTTTATTAATCCAAGGATAACATAGGAGAATGGAGATTACAACTGAACTTTGTTTACATAAGAAAGATTCAGCTATGAGAGCCCACATTCTAACAGACGCAGCTCAAGAAAGCAGGAGAGTACTCAACTTCCTGCCTCCAGGCATGCATTTTGTTTCATTCACCATCAACTACAACAGGGAAATACAAATAATAATACAGCAACATATTATGGTAAATCAGTGAAATCGCATCAGAAAGTAAAACCATTCAAGCAACTCAATACGACCATTCCTCATACTCTCCGCCACAGGTCGAGACCGGATCACAAATGCCAGCAGAAGCATCCAGAACAAGATAAGGCATGTTGTGGAAAGAGGCCGCAAGGCTGCCCGCAAATGCCACCCCATTATCATCCTCGCCGGGTGGCTGAAACTCCTCAGCACGGTGCTTGAGCGTCTGGAACATGATCTCAGGCTCATGACGCATCACCCGAAGCACATCTGCACAAGATGGGCCAGGAGCCGCCCTCGTCACAGCAAAGCCATGAGGTCCATCGCTCTGCGACACGCGGACAACACTGGGCCCACCAAACAGGTTGTGGTATCCTCCGAGTGCCTCCTCATACGCTCCGCCTAAGAACATCCCCAGAAAGTACCTTCCTCCGCCTCCATTGCCGAGTTCATGAAGGGGTAAGCTTGACTCACCCCCAACAAACTTATCAATCTTTCCATCACTATCACATGTCAAGTCTGACAGTATACCTCGGGCCGAAGGGCGTTCATCCAGACGGTGGATCGGGACGATCGGGAATAGCTGACCAAACGCCCAAAAATCTGGAATCGAAGTGAAGACGGAGAGATTGACATGATAAGTGCAGACCGGATCATAAGCTCCAATGGCCTTAGTAACGAGGTCACATATACCATCCACGGCAGCCAGCTGTTCAATGGTCAAAGACCCTTCTTTGAACTGGTCAACACATCTCTGTTTAAGCTGCTCAGCATAGACAAGACACGTCTCATACTCGCCACGCATTGCGGCTGAGGATAAGTTCTGGTAATCCGCCATGGCGTCCTCGTTTAGCTTTTCCACGAAGAATTGAAGGTCAACGTTGTTAGGGAGACGGTTTTGCTGGTGGTGGAGAGAGTTTTTGTTATTGGCGCAAGAAACAGCTTCGAATATCAGAACAGAGTGATGAGAAACAATTGCTCTGCCACTCTCACTGCAAAGAACAGGGTGGGCTACATTCTTCCGGTCACAGACATATCCCACTGCTTGAACGACAGCCGAGGCATATTCTTGAAGTGTATAGCCGACGGACAAATCGGAATCTGTGGATTTCGAACCATCGTAGTCAATTCCGAGACCACCGCCGATATCAATGACTTTCATGTTGGCGCCCAGGCGGGTCAGTTCACAGTAAATCTGGGCTGCTTCACCTACTCCGTCTGCTAGCAAGGCTGTTGACGGAATCTGCGATCCGATATGAAAATGCAGCAACTGGAGGCAGTCCAGCATATCTGTTTCTCCTAGCTGCTTCACCACCCGCAGAATCTGGGTAGTGGTCAGCCCGAATTTACCCTTCTCCCCGGAGGTGGACCCGAAATGGCCAGAGTGCTTGGTTCTCAGCTTCGCCCGGATTCCAATAACGGGTCGGATCCCCATCTTACGGCTGATCTCAGTTACAAGATCAAGCTCCTCTTCTTGTTCCAGAACAATCACTGTGTTCAGAAGGAGCTTTCTTGCGGCCAGGGCCAGGGAAATGTACTCTGCATCCTTGAATCCATTGCATATCAACAGAGCATCCGGGCTGCCCTTGCACAGGCAACTCATAGCCAGCAAGAGCTCCGGTTTGGACCCTGCTTCAAGCCCGAACCGGAAACCCGACCCGAATTCCACAATGTCTTCCACCACATACCTGTCCTGGTTGCATTTCACCGGATAAACGCCTTGGTAATGTGACTCGTATCCCTGAGAATCCACGGCAAAGTTAAAAGCTGATTGGAGAGAGTCGAGCCGGTTCTTCAACACATCCGGGAACCGGACAACAAGGGGCATCTGCAAACCCAGCCCACCCAAATGTTTCGGGTCGGAAGCTTTCTTCACAACCTTCAGAAGGTCGATCTCCTGGTGTGAGAGGGTGGTTGTGCCGTGTGGCTTGACGGATATATCGCCGGAAGAATTGACGGTGAAATACGGTTCGCCCCACTTGTCAATCCTGTACAGGGCAGATGACAAGGCCGGAGACCAATGAGAGAGATCGACGGACGCTGCCGCCACGGCGGCGGCGTTTATTGGCAGGGCAGCGTCAGCGGACGAGGCGAGGGTCTCCGATGGAGGAAGAGATCTATCCCAAGCAAAAGCATAGCTGGGAGGAGGAGCGACGGTAGCGTCCACGCAACATGCAATGGCAGGCATCTTTTTATATTATATATTGCTGTAATTTTCCCTTTGTAAGTCGGAAAATGAGAAGAACAAGAAAGAATCAAAGAATCAGAGGCAAAAAAGGGTCGCTATTTTTACAAATCGACGGAAAACAACATAAATTTTCTCCGATTTTGTAAAGGTGGGGGCTTTAGAACCCGCCGAGGCCGGAGCCCCGGCTACCCCCTCAAAAGGAGCAAAAAAAGACCTGGATCAAAAGATAACACGACCCACACTGGCAACTACTCGACCCGGAAATCCCCACGCCGGCCGGTCAGAAGAAGTGTATTCTCCGGTAAGAAATTAAAGATTCCACCGGCAGACAAAAACAAAACGCAAATCTACGAGTTGAATAAATATCCTAACATATAGATCTGTAGAAGTGAAGAATGAATCGGAAAGATGAAGTCTGGAGGATGACGGAAACCTAACGGCTAAAAATCAGGACGAGACGTAACGAAAGCAGTGAGTTCAAAGAACGGTATCGCACGGATGTGAAGAAGGTGTGATAAAGTGAGCGATATTTGCATGAAGGGTGAAGAGAGTTTATATAGTGGGGGAGATATGGGCCGTGGGCCCGCTTTCTGGGCCGCATTACTTGCAGCTGATCTTTGTTGAATTTCCCCGTTAATCTCGGAAAGCGATCGATAAGGTTTTATTTGGGGATAGATAACCTTTTGTTGTTTAATTCGTTTTCCATTTCAAAACATAAAGAACATGTGAAAGGTATAAGGTGCTTAGACACAATTGCTTTTTAAAGATATTAATCAGGGATTATTCCCTAAGTGGGAGTAAATACATCTTTAATTGTTAGAATAGGAGTAAAATTTAAAATGTTCCTGATGGAGTATATGGCCCGGGAACACCCGGTCCACAGACTCCTACTACTCCTTTAGAGGCCCAACAGGCCCATAAGATCCAACAGATCCAAATCACAGCGCCCAGAGTACCAAGCAGCCCACACTACGCGCCAGGGGTGCCTTCGGCCCCCTGGCCGAAGGCTCTAAACTCTCGCAGAACGGGTTTCTCAAGCAAATTAAGAAACTGGGAGAAAACGGCGAAAACAGTAGCCCTCGGCACTGTGAGCCCTCGGCACCAGGGTGCCATCGGTTGGAGGAGCCCTCGGCTACTGCTCTATGACCGAAGGCATCTCACTCGACAAGATATCCGCTCACATGCGTACAGATCACCGTACCCTGCACAGACGTCCCATCCAACAGCCGCATTAAATGCGGCCACATGCGGCTGCCAGCGACAACCAGTTGAGGTGACCCCTCGGCCAATGAGCGCTTGACACGTGTCCCTGCCCGGCATTTATTGCTACTATAAATAGCACCCCATTTCCTCATTTGTAACCACGCTGAAAACGGCATTCACACTGAATACACTCTCTCTCTGCTTTTACTTACTTGCTCTAACTTCTCTCTAAGTTATTCCCCGTAATAACCCTTCGGATATATACCCCCGGGTAGACTATTCATCATTTGATGCTCTCGTTGAGAGGTCGAACAATCGAGTAAGAAACCCTCCCCCTCGACCAAACACAAAACACTAGCCCTCTATCAAAATGGTGAGAACAACACGTGCCAACTCAAAGAACGTAGAAGACAAGAACTTGGCCCTCGGCGACGTCAACGCCCCCGAAGCCTCTCACAGGGCTCCCGAGGGCGGTGTCATCGCCGGGCTGGAACAGGCGGCTGTCGACCTACGCCTTCAGATCCAACAAAATGCCCCCGATGCCCGCCTCGGCATCGAGGCCAAGAAGAAAAACCGGAGCGATGACCAAGTCAGCCCTCCGGTTCTCACCATCGACGTGCAATCGGCGCTCTCCGCCTTCATCCAAACGCTCACCCAGAACCCGGGTGCCTTCGGCACCCTGGCTCCAGCTCACCCTCAGGTTGGGGAAAACATCATACTTCCCCCTCTGCCACACCCCTTCGGAAATCCCACCCCTCGGGTGAGGAACGACGAGGGGGTGGTGGCCCAAGATACGTCCTCCTAGGAAGTTCAGTCCCGGGACCGCCATAATAACAACAGGGAAAGGCCCCGTACTTCCGCCCTCAACCGGCTCGGAGGAGGGCCAGACCGCCGAGGGGTCCAAGACCGCCTCGGGGGAAAGCACTCCAAAGGCCCCAGGAAACCGGGGGATCTGTTTCGAGGGCAGACGAGGAGCGTCCCCATCGGGACAAAGGCAAGGCACCCCTTCATGCCGATGATGCTCGGCACCAAATCAACCAAGCCCACTCGGCCCGGGTTCGTTCGCAGGGGGCGGAGACCCTCCCGAAGGATCCCCGGGACGAGATTATTGCGGCCCTCCAACGCCGGCTTGACGAGATGGAGTCCAACAAAGCTCACGCCACCACCTCCACCCCTCATTCAGATCTCAAATACGAGGCCATGATGGCCAAAATGGAGGAGTTACAGAAGAAGGTGGCCGAGGGCTCCGGGGAACCCGTCATCCAGCTCCGGACTCGGACGCCATTTACCCCAAGGGTATTGGCGGCCCGGATCCCGGAAAAATACCGAGGGCAACATATACAGCCCTACAACGGAAAAACGGACCCCCAGGAACATTACAGCAAGTACCAGAACAGCATGATGATGGTAGGGGCGTCGGACGAATATTTGTGTCGTTGGTTCCTCTCCACCTTAGAGGAGCCGGCATACGAATGGTTCAACAGGCTGCCCGAGGGATGTATTGATTCATGGCAAGAACTCGCCCAGCGATTCTTGACACAATTTGCCGGGAGGCGTCGCACAAGGAAGCACTTCTCCCACCTCCTAACAATACGCCAGAAGAGGGATGAGACCCTTCGGGACTTCCTAGAGCGCTGGAGGACGGAGGCCGACAAGGTCGACGGTGCTGATGACGGGACTCTCCTGGCCCTCCTACAAACCGTCCTCCGCACCGGCAACTTTTCAAGGAGCCTCATCATTGAACCCCCCCCCCCCCCCCCCCCCCCCCCCGCGACTACATAAGGGCTTTGCAGCGGGGGGACCGATATGCTGAGGCCGAGGAGGTGGAGAAGTATCACCAGCATCCGGACCAGCAGCCCCCGAGGGCTGACAACAAGCATAACCGAGGGCCGGGGGCTCCTCCAAATCACCCCAAGGCTTCGGGACCCTCTGATGACCGCCCTCGGCAAGGCCAAACCAAGCCCGGGGGAGGATATAAGAGCAACCCCAAGACTTGGGCACAACCCATTCTCCTGGACCGCCCTCGGACACCATTGACGCACCCCGTCAGCATCATCCTCGATTTTGCCGAGGAGAGGGGCCTCGTTGAGCGTGATTCTCGCGCACCCCCTGAGGTTCACGCTATCAACCCTCAGTTCCCCTACTGTCGCTTCCATCGGCACCAGGGGCACAGGACCGATGACTGCCATCAGCTGAAGACGGCCATCGAGAGATTAATACAGGCGGGGCACCTGTCCCAATTTGTCCAGAGCCCTCGGCAGGAGGGACCTTCTCATCAGGGACCTCCCCGAGGGCACCATACGAAGGTAAACGCCTGGGTAAATCCGAACACCATCCCCCTCGGCAAGAAGAGGGAGATCGGAAACTTGGAAGAAGAGGAGGAGGAGTACCCCCACTACCAGGAGAAGAAACGCCACATCCTCATGATCACCGGTGGCAATACAGGGGGCGATTCCACCAGCCAACGAAAGAAGTGGGCTCAATCACTTTACGTAGGGGAAGTCACTCGTATGCCCCCGGTAAAGCGACTGAGGGAGGAACCCATCACCTTCACCAACGCAGATCTCCCCCCTACTTCTTCTCCTCACAGGGATGCCTTGGTAATTCGGACGGAGATAAACGACACCATCATTCACCGAACTTACATTGACACGGGCAGCTCCGTCAATGTAATGTACCTCAGCACCTTCGGAGAGCTGCATCTGGAGAGGGGGTCCCTTCGGCCCATTAAGACCCCTCTTGCCGGCTTCACCGGCGACACTATTGATTCCGAGGGGGTAATAACCCTCCCGGTGATCTTCGGCGACGGGCTCCATAGAGCCCAGCTCGAAGTGGAGTTCGTCGTCGTCAACATTGACTGCGCCCACAACATCATCCTCGGCCGGCCAGCCCTCGAGGACCTCGAAGCCATTATCTCCATGAGGCACCTCTGCCTCAAGTTTCCCGCCGAGGGGGGCATTGGCTATTCCCGGGGGAATCAGAAAATTGCACGCGCTTGCTATCTTCAAGTCACTAAGAAGGTAAGTAAGACGGAATTCCGCGTTGACACCATCACCGGAACCATCGACCAAGAGGAAAGAAGGCCGAGGGCTGAACCGGCCGAGGACGTAGAAGACTTTGCGCTCGATCCGGCCCAGCCGGAGAGAGTCGTGAAGATTGGAGCCCAGCTCCCTGAAGATCTCAAGACCGGTATCACCGACGCCCTCCGCGCCTACTCCACTGTCTTTGCGTGGGGGCCGAAGGACATGCCGGGAATCAGCCGAAGGGTCATCACCCACCGCCTCTCGATGGACCCTTCGGCAAAGGCAGTGCAACAACGAAGAAGACCCCTCTCCGCCGAGAGGAGGGAATTTGTGAAGAAGGAGGTCGCCATGCTCCTCTCCATTAAGCACATCAAGGAGGTGAAATACCCCTCATGGCTGGCGAATGTAGTCCTTGCACAGAAGCCCCCTACCTTCCGCATGTGCGTGGACTACACCGATCTCAACAAAGCGTGCCCTATGGATCCATTCCCTCTACCGAACATTGATCAACTGGTGGATGAGACCGCAGGATGTGAGATTATGTCCTTCCTCGATGCCTTCCGAGGGTATCACCAAATTTTCATGCACGAGGAAGACGCCGAAAAAACTGCCTTCATGACTCCCGAAGGCATCTTCTGCTACCTAGTGATGGCCTTCGGCCTAAAGAACTCGGGGGCCACCTACACCCGGATGGTGGCCCGGGTCTTTCAAGCCGTCCTAGGGCGCACCATGGAGGCCTATGTGGACGACATGATCGTCAAAAGCAAGCAATCTTCCAGCCATGCTGACGACCTCCAGGAAATCTTCGCCATCATGCAAAAATTCAACCTTCGGCTAAACCCGAAGAAGTGCACCTTCGGCGTCCAAGGGGGCAAGTTGGGTTACATGGTGAGCCGAAGGGGTATTGAGGCCAATCCCGAGAAAATCTAGGCCATCATCAACATGGAGCCCCCACGCAATGTGAAGGAAGTTCAACGGTTGACGGGCCGCCTGGCAGCCCTCAACCGCTTTCTATCTAAATCGGCGGAGAAGTCTCTACCCTTCTTCCAGATCATGAGGAAGACGACTGGCTTTCTATGGACTCCAGAATGCCAGGGGGCTTTCGACGAGCTCAAACGATATCTATCTTCACCTCCTGTGCTCTCCAAACCCAAGGCAGGGGAGACCCTTTACCTCTACCTTGGGGTTAGCCCGGCGGCCATCAGCTCTGTGCTCATTCGGGAGGAAGACGGCACCCAACATGCCATCTTCTACGTTAGCAAGAACCTAAGGGAGGCCGAGCTCAGGTACTCCCCTGTGGAAAAAACGGTGTTGGCCATCGTTTGGACTGTCAAGAAGTTGGGCCACTACTTTCAGGCTCACCCGGTTCAGGTCCTCACTCATCAACCCCTCGGCGCCCTCATGAGGAGCCCCACCAGCTCCTCCCGCATGGTGAAATGGGCTATCTTCTTGAGCCAGTACAACATTGACATCCGCCCAAGGCCTGCCATCAAGGGCCAAGCCCTGGCGGACTTTGTGACGAAGTGTACCGCAAGGGCAGCCACGGACGGGGAGCCCTCGGCTACCTCGGACGACTGGTGGACCCTCTACACTGACGGCTCCTCCGCGACCAAAGCATGCGGGGGAGGGGTAGTCCTCATTACTCCCGAGGGCTTCAGGGCCTACTATGCAATCCGCTTCTCCTTCAAGGTCTCCAACAATGAGGCCGAATATGAGGCCCTCCTATGTGGCCTTCGGCTGGCTGCCAACATGAGGGCTCGGCAGATCCACATCAAATGCGACTCCAAGTTGGTCGTTGGCCAAATCTCCGAGGAATATGAGGCCAAGGAGGGAAGAATGAAACAATACAAGGAAGCGGCCAAGGAGTTGCTCAAGGTATTTGAGGCACACTCTCTCACTCAAATACCGAGGGCTCAGAACTCCGAGGCCGACATATTATCTAAGCTCTCGGCCGACTCCCCCGAGCACATCTCCAAAATTGCCAAAATTGAGGAACTCAGCCTCTCAAGTATCCATGCGAGCCCCGTTATGAACATACAACAACACCCAGAGGATTGGATCTCAGATATCACCGCCTTCATCTCCACAGGGCAGCTACCCGAGAATGAGGCCCGCGCTAAACTGGCAAAGTTGAGGGCTCCTAGCTACACCATCGAAGATGGAAGGCTCTACAAACGATCTTACAATGGCACGCTACTTCGGTGCCTTCATCCAGATGAAGCCGAGGTTGCAATGGAGGAGGTGCACAGTGGCACTTGCTCAGCTCACCAGGGACCCTTCTCCATGTCCCGAAGGCTCATTCTCCAGGGCTACTTCTGGCCAACCATGGCCAGGGATTGTGCTGACCTTGCCCGGAGGTGCACCGCATGTCAACATTTCCAGAAAGCTCCCGGCCGGCCAGCGGTCAACTATGCCCCCATCAGCACCTCTGTCCCCTTTTCCCGATGGGGGATAGACCTTGTGGGCCCTCTGCCGAGGGGTACCTCCAACAACAGATACATCATTGTGGCCATCGACTACTTTACCAAGTGGGTGGAGGCTGAACCCCTCGCCAGCATCACAGAGGCGAAGTGCCGTCACTTCGTCCTCAAGAACATCCTCACAAGGTTTGGCGTCCCCCAGCAGATCATCTCCGACAATGGGACACAATTTGAGGCAGCCCCCTTCTGTGCCCTTCTGGAGGCATGGGGCATCAGACACACCTTCTCCTCCGTTGCCTACCCTCAAGGCAACGGACAGGTAGAGAACGCCAACCGGACCTTGCTCGAGGGCCTCAAAAAGAAGCTGGAGGCCGAGGGCGGTGGCTGGGTGGAAGAACTCCACAACATCCTTTGGGCCTACCGCACCACCCCTCGGCGAGCAACAGGTGAAACACCCTTCTCCCTCTGCTACGGTTTTGAAGCCAAAGCTCCTACGGAAGTCACCCTTCCCACCCGAAGGGTGATCCAATATGACCCCGAGGTCAACGACAGCAACATGGCCCTCGACCTCCACCTCATTTCAGAACGCCGGGAGCAGGCCTTCATCCGGGCAGAAAACTACCGAAGGCAAGTTAAAAGCTACATCGACGCCAAAGGTCGCACCCGAGAATTTCAAGTGGGGGACTATGTCCTCCGGAGGAGGGAAGCCAGCCAACCAACCGAGGGAGGAAAAATGGCACCAAAATTCGAAGGCCCTTACATCATAGCAGCCATCATCAAACCTGGGACCTACAAGCTCAAACGCCCCAACGGGAAAGAAGTCCCTAGGCACTGGAATGTACACCACTTAGTTAAATTTTACCAATAATGTAAGAGCGGCCAAGCCCTCATAACTAGTGAATGTACTATCCTATGGCCCAAGGCCTCCAATTTCGAAGAATGAAGATACATTCAAGACATCAAGCCCTCATACTGACTACAGGCCCCCGGCCTCACCACGAGAAAAACCCCCTCCGGCACCAAGTGCCGAGGGCGGACACCATCAACACCTACAAACAGTGAAAACACCACGTGTTTTCAGTCAAGACCCCTCGGTACCAAGTGCCGAGGGAGGGAACTCCTATCACCAACAACAAGGAACGCCATGTGTTTCATTTCCCTTCGGCACCCAGTGCCGAGGGTACATCCCCACCTTCAACATCGAAAAAGAAAAGATGAGAACACCAAGTGTTCCTGCAGAAGACCCTTCGGCACCCAGTGCCGAGGGTACACCTCCATCATCAAACATCGAAACGAAGAAAAAACACCAAATGTTTCAAAGAAGACCCCTCGGCACCCAGTGCCAGGGATATGCTCTCCTATCAACTTCCAAACATCTGTTGAGAAACACCAAGTGTTTCATTTGAAGACCTCTCGGTACCAAGTACCGGGGGCTACACATCGAAACTAACACCAAGTGTTGTTTCTAAAAGCCGTACCCCACGAGGACGCATATACCGAAGGCGCCACCATCGGTGCCGGCGGCACGTAGTGCCCCCGGCCATTTGCAACTAGTGTGCAAATGAAAACCCTTCCTTGAAACGCTTTCCGCGTCACTACCCCCAGGGTATGACAGGCATGAGAAATGCCCAGGATTCGACTTTCAAAAACGGAACGCTATCCGCGTCACTACCCCCAGGGTGTGACAGGCATGAGAAATGCCCAGGATTCGACTTCCAAACCGAAACGCTCCCCACGCCACCACCCCAAGGGTGTGGCAGGCCACGGACTATGTCTAGCGCCGAGGGGATGACTTTCAAAAATGAGGCGCTTTCCGCGCCATCCCCCAAGGGGAGGCAGGTTACGGACCACCATATCTTGTGCCCAGGAAACGTCCCTCGATCCCCTCGGAACTCGGAAGGTTAACACGAGGGAGGAGAGCCATTGGTGTATTCTGATGGTCTCCTAATAGGCCCAGCCTTACCAAGAAACCAAGTTTCTTGATGCCTTCCCTTCACCACCAACCAAAAAAAAAGGGGGGTGAAGGGGAGTAGACTCAGCGAGAAATCAAAGAGTACACTCCAACAGATCACAACAAGCCGAGGGCTCCCCACGGGAACACCTCCGGTAACTGAAGGCTCCTATTTCCCGAAGGATACTACTCGAACAAATAGCAGCAAGGAACGGCTAAGTCCACTGCCTCGCCACCTCCGGTCACACAAACACCGAAGGCTTCAACAATACAGAGGGACTGGACTATCCAAAGTACACTAAGACGGTACCTTCAAATATGTATCGAAGGCAGCTGTTATACATTAATACCGAGGGCCCCTACCCCATTACAAGGGACACAACTGGCTGAGTCAAACTCTACAACTCTTCAGAGTGTATGCCGAGGGCACACACTCCTCATTGGCTTTCTTCACAACAACAGGATTCAACATCAATTTACGCAAAGTAATGTAGAGTCAGAGGGCACCTATCACCCGAAGGCTACACAAGGAAGCAACACTTGAAAAAATTCTAAGTCCTAAAGATTGGGCCCCCGGCCCAATCAATATTACTGCCAAGGGAATATGGTAGCCGAAGGCCAGGCAATACAACAACGCTTAAAAAATATTCTGTCCTAAATGAGCAGCCCCCGAGCATCTCGCAAAGTGATGTGGAAACAGAAGGGATGCCATCTCCCGAAGGCTCCCAAGGGAAAATCTACACTTAGAATATTTTCTAAGTCCTACATGTTTTTCCCCCGGTCAACTACTCATACATCAAGAAGGGATGCCATCTCCCGAAGGCTCCCAAGGGAAAATCTACACTTAGAATATTTTCTAAGTCCTACATGTTTTTCCCCCGGTCAACTACTCATACATCAAGAAGGGATGCCATCTCCCGAAGGCTCCCAAGGGAAAATCTACACTTAGAATATTTTCTAAGTCCTGCATATTTTCCCCCCCGGTCAGCTACTCATACATCATGGAGGGATGCCATCTCCCGAAGGCTCCCAAGGGAAAAATCTACACTTAGAATATTTTCTAAGTCCTGCATATTCCCCCCCCCCCCCCCCCCCCCCGGTCAGCTACTCATACATCATGGAGGGATGTCATCTCCCGAAGGCTCCCAAGGGAAAATCTACACTTATAAATCTTTCTAAGTCCTACATATTTCACCCTCAACTTATAAAGGGGCCCAATAGCCGAAGGCTACCTATCAATCGAGGGCTACAGTGCACAAGGAATCGACACTCAAGAAAATTTTCTAAGTCCTAAAGAATTGCCCCCCGGCCTATTCAATATTCCGGTTGGGGCTCCACAGTAGCCGAAGGCTACGTGACATACTACACTTGCAAAAAATTTCTAAGTCCTGTACATTGGGCCCTCGGTCCAACAATCACACATCGGGAAGGGATGCCATATCCCGAAGGCTCTCAGGGGGAAATCTACACTTAGAAATTTTTCTAAGTCCTAGGATTTGGGTTACTACAAACGCCCGAAGGCCTCATGCTGTGCTACACTTAGGAAAAATTTCTAAGTCCTAATTGCTGTTGAACCCTCGGTTGCATATCCAGCAGAGGGTGCCCAACTACCGAAGGCTTCCAGGGGCAAGCTACAGTCAGAAAAAATTCTATGCCCTAAAACATACATTCAAAGGAACAAAGGCATACATCCATAGCAAGACGAAGGCATATATTCGACAATGAACAAATCAAAAGGAAGCATGTTATATGTCAAAGGCCCGAGGGCATATATGTACTCATTCATTCAAAAAAGGGAGTTTAAATGCACTGTTACAAAGGAGGCCGAGGCCAACAATTACAACACAAAAGGGGGGATTACAATTCAAGAAGGGGGTACTGTGGACATCGCCTCGCTCTCGGCTTCATCTTCTTCACCCCCAAGGCCGCACTCCCGGAGGGTCTCCGAGTCTTCAAGAACTGGCCTCTCTTCCCCCTCGGGGAGCGGGATCCTGACATCTGGCTGGCGCGGGGGGGGGGGGGGGGGAGACCATAAGCTTCTGGACGGAACTCCTCCGGTGCCACCTGAAAGTGCTTCGCAAGCTTCCGGTAGATGAGGCGTTGGGTGAAGAACTCCCCGCCTTGGTAGTACGAGTCGCCCCTCTCGGCAAGCCACATCTTTCCGGGGCCCCCGACCCACTCGTCTACTGAAGCCCCCACCACCGAAGCGAGCCACTCCCTCCGGTCTTCGGCCTTCCACCCTTCGGCCGTGAAGCTGATCACCGCATCCTCTCGGGCCTTGGAGACGGCCTCTTCTTGAGCCGCGCGAGCTTCATCGGCAGCAATACGGGCGGCCTCGGCGGCGGCCTCCCCGGCCCTGGCTAGCCCCTCATTGACCCCTTCGGCCCTTGCAGCCTGCACCCTCTGCTCCATGTCGTCGGTGGCCAGACGGAGAGAGTCCTCGGCTTCAGCAAGCTTCTTCCTGAGGAGGACGGCCTCCCCCTCGGCGGCACCCTTGGCCTCCCTCATTTGATCCACCCTTCGGAGGTGCTCGCAGAGGCCCATAAAAGTCTGCAATTCACGAAGGCAAGAATAAGGCATAATGAACATAATACAGAAGGAAAACATAACAATGAGCAAAGAAGGGAAGGTGACTTACGGAGGCAGCATTCAGGAGGACTTTCGCCTCGAGGGATCCCTCGTCCAGCCGGGCAAGGGCCAGTCGGTCGGCCGACGGCAGCATCTGGCTCATCAGAGCCGAAGGGTTCAAGCTGCCCTCCAACACGGAGGCCCCCTTCGGTACTAACGCCTCCGACCTCTCCCGCCCAAAGAACTCCTGATTGATTTGTTCCTGGGGGGTGGAGGCAGAAGCGTGCCCTTCGTCCACAATCACCACCACATCGGTGATCGGTTGTTTGGTAGGGGCGGTGGTCTTCGGCTTCTTGGCCGGGGGCTCGGTCCCCTTTCCAGCAATCTTCTTTTTAACGGGCCCAACACCCTTGGACCCTCCGGCGCCAGCAGCAGCGCCAGCAGTTTGAGAGGGCCCCTCCCTGGCAGAAGCGCCCGCCGGGGCCTTCTTCTTCCCTTTCGCGTTTTTCAAAGCGAAGAGGGAACCAACGTCCATATTGTTACCTGCAAGTAACAAAAAAAAACAGGAGGGTTAGATCGAAGGCTACCAGTTACTACGTCATAAAAAAAAGCGGAATAAGAGAGAACTATCAACGCATCAGTGAACAATTCGGTGATCACCTCCGGCGCCTTCGAAGACCCTATCGAGGGGAGGGTATCTCTCATCCGAAGAGCCCCTCGGTCTGAACTGCCGGAAGCCCAGGCTAAGCAAATCCTCCGAAAGGGTGACTTCTCTGATCTTGACATGCTTGTCAGACCCCTCCGGCTTCTTGGCAAGCACTTTGCCATTCTTCTCCAAAACTGCGTTCCCCACCTTCGGATGGCGCCGAAAGCAATTAACGGAGCTGGGCCGGGAAGGGGTTCTCCTCGAGGCGGATATAGCAGAACCTCTCTTTCCACCCCTTGTGAGACGAGGGCACATCATAAAAAAGCCGGAACTCCGGTACCTGCTGAAGGTTGGCAAAGCCCTCAGCATTTGAATGTCCCCCCCGGCAAAGGTTGAAGGACATGAAGAATTGATCAAGTGTGGGCTCGACCCCCCGGCTCTGACACAAGGAGAGGAACCCGGCCACATAGGAGTGGCTGTTGGGCGTTAGCTGGCAAGGGGCCAACCCCACAAATCTCAGATACTCCAAGAGAAAAGGATGGAGCGGGAACCGAAGCCCCATCTCCACCGAGAGGGTGTGAGCAGCAAAGCACCCCTCGGGCGCGTATCGCAGCAAATCATCCGCCCTGGGCTCCACCACGCGCGCCGAAGGTCCAACCAGCATCTGGGTGGACTGGTATTCTGCCGGGGACGCCTTCGTCTTCAGCTCTAGAGCGGCAGTATTCAAGAACGAATGGCCCTCGGGTATGCCCACCGGCCGCCCGGCATCCACTGTCGCTTGCTTCTTCCTCGGGGCCGCCTTCGTCTTGTGTTTCTTCCCGGGAGCCAAACTTATGGGCGTCGGGTCCAATGGCCGGGAGGAGCTGGCTTCCCCGGCACCCCGGGGGGGGGGGGGGGGGGGGGGGATGGCAACCGTCACCTTCAGCCTCTCCCTCTCCTCTTCCTGCTCGGCGGTTTGCACGGCGAGGGCAAGCTCTTCATCCTCATTTTCTTGCTCGAAGCCCTCGGCTTCGACTTCGGCCTGGAGGTCCTTCTCCACTTCCATGGCCACTGCGGCATCACCACCTGCCGAGGACTCCACGCTCGAAGACTTCACATCTGAGCATGTCTCCATCTCTACCGAAGGCTCCCCCGAGATATCCTGCGAGTCGCTCTGTGATGACATCTGCTCACTAATTCAAAGGCTCGGGAAAACTAAGGTTTCCTAGGAAATTCTATCTCCTAACCTAGGGGCACAAGGCACAGCTAGACTAGAAGGAGAAAGGCGGGGGGGAACTGACCTTGAAAGCTGAGTTGTTACCGAAGGCTGGAGTTTCTCTCTCTAGAATTTTTGCCAGAGCTTCGCTACACTGAGTTCGCACGGCGGGGAATGGCCCTGGCCTTGGGGTATTTATAGGCGATGGAATCCGGGCTTGGGCCTGGATTCCGGGCCTCCGGATGGACCGCCATCATTACACACCGCGTCCTCACCCAACCAGTGATGCCGCCCACGGACAGCCAGCCATCACGCGCCACGTGTCCCCCCCAACGGCTATATCCTGACGTTACGTATTCCAACGGCTATATTTCCAACGGCTATATTCTGGAAGCCCCCGGGTTTTCTACTGCGCTCCGCTACATCAAGGAGAGCCTCCGGGTACACTTACCCAGAGACGCCCCCGGGATGTGCCCCACACAGCCCATAGCAGATGCCTTCGGGATCACCCCTTCAGAAACTCAAGGCTTCATATCAGGGCACCCCTCGGGGATTCCCCCTCAGCACTGCAAAACCGGGTAGCCCTCGGGGAGTTGCCTCATTGACGGGTGACCCATGGCACACAGGTAATGGGAGCCCTCGGGTATCTTCATCACCAACTAATCAACAAACAGTGGACCCCCCGGTAACAACTCCACTGCTGCCCTCATCTGGCAGGCCCTCGATCCCCGGATTGAGGGGCTCCCCTTCGGCGCCCCCAGGACATCAACAGCAAGCCTTCGGCTAATCAGCACATGAGCCCTCAGAACAAGGAAGAGCCTTCGGCATTACCGTTGTTCTCCATTTCTGACCAAGGTTTCACATTTTCGATTCATCATTGGAGGAATTCGGTGCACTCTTTTTCCCTCATTAGGATTTTTTCGCCCAGGGTTTTTCCTAATGAGATTTTTAACGAGGCATCCCCCCAAAATGAAACGAAAAGCGTCAGCCTTCGGCCCACAACAGCAACGTAACTACTTTACTCCTTTTCACCACTATACAAGTGCCTCAAGGAGTGGGGGACTGGAGGACCCCCTCGGGAAAATCATTAAATTACAAAATCAGTGAAATTCCAACAAACGACAAGACAAGCCCTCAAGTCCCGACATGTGGGTAACTGAGGGACTGCCTTCGGCAGGGACATAAAAGCAACAACTCCTCACCAACTTCAGAGATCATGACGGGACAACATCAAAGGGCAAGCACAAATTACTCTTTTTCCCTCAAGTACCTTTCGGCAAAAGGAGTGAGGGACTCCTGATGGAGTATATGGCCCAGGAACACCCGGCCCACAGACTCCTACTACTCCTTTAGAGGCCCAACAGGCCCAGAAGGTACAACAGGCCCAAATCACAGCGCCCAGAGTACCAAGCAGCCCACACTACGCGCCAGGGGTGCCTTCAGCCCCCTGGCCGAAGGCTCTAAACTCTCGCAGAACGGGTTTCTCAAGCAAATTAAGAAACTGGGAGAAAACGGCGAAAACAGTAGCCCTCGGCACTGTGAGCCCTCGGCACCAGGGTGCCATCGGTTGGAGGAGCCCTCGGCTACTGCTCTATGGCCGAAGGCATCTCACTCGACAAGATATCCGCCTCACATGCGTACAGATCACCGTACCCTGCACAGACGTCCCATCCAACAGCCGCATTAATTGCGGCCACATGCGGCTGCCAGCGCCAACCAGTTGAGGTGACCACTCGGCCAATGAGCGCTTGACACGTGTCCCTGCCCGGCATTTATTGCTACTATAAATAGCACCCCATTTCCTCATTTGTAACCACGCTGAAAACGGCATTCACACTGAATACACTCTCTCTCTGCTTTTACTTACTTGCTCTGACTTCTCTCTAAGTTATTTCCCGTAATAACCCTTCGGATATATACCCCGGGTAGACTATACATCAGTTCCCAAATAGGAGTTAATTTATGGACTTGGACAGAAACACCTCGCAGCTTGGCAAAACACGATACTTGACCTTTGCCGGTCACCGGTCGCCGGAGCCGCCGTAGAACCGGCGGCCGCTGCACATCTTGCTGCTTCACTGTCATATCTGGACGTCGCTGCCGTGGATATGGCCACCGCATCCGTTGATCCGGCCGCCGCCGCGTAGATCCGGCTGCTGCCGCTGCGGATCTGGCATCCTCCACCACAGATCTGGCAGTCACCGCCACTTATGCCAACATGTTTATCCAAATGCCAACATGAATATGAAATTCCATGTTAATGGCATTTTCAAAACAGAAAATGGCATTGTAGAAGAGTAAAAATGCCATTTTATTGGCTTTTTTAAATAACATTTGACATTTAAAAAAAACAAACCAATTGAAGAAGATGAATAGGTGTTTGCCATCATCGAGTGATTATGGACTGTCAAAGAGGGAAAAGAGAGAAACGGAATAGAGAGGAGGGATTCGAGAAGACGAAGAAGAATTTCAGAGAGGGAGAACACCGAGCTTGAAGTCCAAAACCAGATCTGAAATACAGCTTGCCGTCGCCGCTCCTTCCCGCCTTCCACTCGCCGCCGCTTACCGTCGCTTGCTGTCGCACCTTTGTCGCTCTCTGCCGCTCATTGTTGCTCGCCGCCGCTGATGGTTGTCCGCCGCAGCTGAAGGTTGAACGCCGCCGCTGAAGGTTGCTTGCCTCTGTTCGCAACATTCAAATCCCTCACTAGGCTTTTGCAGATTTGTCAATGCAATTAGTCTGTATGATGTGAGTAGAACAGGCAAAGTAGGGTGCCGTACAATTAAATTTAATGGAGGGGTAAATTGGTACAATAGTCCTATTTGGGGAATAGAAATATACTTAATCCCATTTAGGAATTTAAGCAATATTTTAATCCTATTTAGAGCAAAAAACTCTATTAATCATTGTTCGATTTTTGTTGGAGATCCATTATTCCTCCCAATTACTAAGGAAGCAAGTCTATGCTTTTTAGGTTTATACTTCCTCCGTTCCATAAAACTTTGCGAAGTTTGACTGACTTAAGATTAATAAAGTAAAAACTGCGAAGTTGAAGTTTGTGTAGAGCAGAGAGAGTTAAACGAAACCACAATTTCTTTACTTAAAAGAGAAAGTGGCAAAGTTAGTGGGACATCCAAAAAGGAAAAATTGGCAAAGTTTTAAGGGACGGAGGGATTATATATATATTTATATTTATGTTTATATTTAGTAGTTTTATCAATCTAGAATATGAAAGATAGACAAATTGTCAATAAGGGATATGAAATATGAAATTTATCATTATAGGATTCAAATGGTGGATACTATCAATCTAGGACCTAACATTTTATAGGTTTTGATTTATTTAATTTTTTATTAATTTCATTTCTAATTTTTTGTGAACTTTTCTTCACAAAAGATTACAAGTTTAATAAAACAAAATATTATTTAAAAGTTTTGAAATAAAAGATAATAAAATTCATGACAACTTAGATCCTCATTGATAATGCGTCTATCATTCAGATTCTGAATTGATAAAATTTCATGCTTTTTTAAGGTTTATATTTATGTGTGATACAATAATAATAATAATAACATTAAAGTAAGATGTAACTTTTTTTGTAAGAATTTTTAGGTTTATATTTCTAATTATATTTATATGTTACAAGTCTTTTGGTTAATTTGTCATTGTAGTGGATTCATAATCAATTACAAAGCGTTAATTTACCGTATGATTAAAAGAGTATCTGTTTCCCAATCTATAATATGGTCATTTTTTTTCTAATTTGGTAGGAGAGTGATATCCCAAGTTGCTAACATTCCATATGCACAAGGAAACTTTCTTGTCATATTTTGATCAATCCAGATTTTTAGTCATATAATGGGAAATCATCTTTCTTGTCGTAATATTGTGATAAATTTCTCAATATATTTTTGTATCGGCGCAGTCTAGTGATGTGGCTATGCTCCTCGAGGCTAGACGTATGATATAATCAAATGTCTCAACCCATCTCTTATGATTAATCGAGGTTAGATGCATCATATACAGAGTATGACTTAAGAAATGAATAGTCATTCCATGAGATTTAGATTGAATTTCAATACAAAGCAATATCGTTCTTTCAGTTTAGGATGTTTTTACTTGAATTGTTTTCAGTTGCAGATCAGATCCGACTAGACCAAACTTAAACAGGTCAGACCAGCCTTAAACAGACCAGACCACACCAGATCAGACCAAACTTCCATAGTTATAAAATACACAGAGACCAGACATTTACCAGATCAGTTCAGACCAGACAGACCAAACCAGACCGGATTAAATTTAAACAGACCAGACTAGACCAACCCAGACTTAGGCTATGTTTGGCACAACAAGCTGGAACTGGAGGCTAATGTCTGAAATAGGGTCTATTGTCTGAAACAGAAGCTATTGTCTGGAACCGAACTTGAAAGTGCTGAATCTGAATTGCTAACTGAATGGAGTAAACCCGTTTGGCAAAAAGAGCTGAACAAGTGCATGGAGAATATGAAATTACATTAAAGGACATGTGATTATTAATACAATAAAATATATTTATTGTAATGATTTTTATATTTTCACCCTTTGCTAACATAACATAACATAACATAACATAACATAACATAACATAACATAACATAACATCCAACTACATGCTAAGTTTATACGGAGTACTTCTTTTAGCTACGTAAGATCTCCCACTATGCCCTACAAAGCTCCAAGATAATCATTTCCCTTTTAAAGCATTATTATATTTTCTTATAGAACGTAGTGATAACAATCATACCTTACCTGCCTACAAGGATCAGCACAAGGATAACTAGCTAGGCGTCAAATTCGTATCTAACCCTTCTTCAAAGATTAGCGCACCAAACGATCCGAGACAAGGCTGGGAAAATTAGCAGCACATAGAGAAGAGGGATTGGGGTATTGAGGAAACCAGCTAATAAATTTGAACTCCGAAGTGGAGGAGCCTATCCGAGGAGGTGATACGTGCAGTAATAAAGAAATAAGAGAAGTAAAACAAGGACAAATTAGGAACTGAAGATTAACTATCAGCTGACTGAATAAAAACGCTAGCGTGCCTAACGTTTCAATTCAGACCTAGTTTTCCCATTTCAACTTCATGTAGCCTTGTGTCCAAACGGATCTACTTTTTCAATTAATGACTGAATTCAAAAAAAAAATCAGTTCATTATGGGCTGAAGTGTCATGTCAAACATAGCCTTAAATGAATCCGACCAACAAATTTCAGTCCAAGTAAAATTATCCTTATACATACAAGATCTTAAACAGAAAAAGCATTTTAACTTATTCTTCTCATCTCTCAACAGTTGATTTATATTCTTATTTATCTACTCTATAAATATTGCACATAAATAATGGTTGATCTGGTAATATGCATTGTCCATAATATATGCATTCTGGCCTAATAACGCCGAATTTGGGTTGGGGTTAACGATTAATACATTCACTAGGCCGGATGGAGTAGATATTGATGATAAACTGATAAAGTAGCTGCTTCTTCGTGGTTTTTGTGCTTATGGACAATGGTAGAATCATAAATGTGACCCTGTGGCCGGATTTAAAGAATTTATATTGGGAAGTTAAGAATTAAAATACAACATACACCTTTCATCTCATAAAATTTGATCAATATCATAAACTTTTGATAATAATTTTAATTAATTATTATATTTGTGACAAATTTATAACATTTATAGTGTAATGAAAGTATTCTAAAAACAATAACATACAAACTACATATTTTAATTAATTTCGTATTAAAAACATATAATTGGTCAAAATTGACAATAATGGACAAAAAAAAGACAATATGACTAAGTAAGACGCACTAAGGCTGTAGACTTTTTTACGGGGTATTGCTTATAAACATTTATTATACATACATACATACATATATATATATATATACACACACATAAAAAAATACATATATATACATAGAAAGGTCTTGGGATTAGAGGCCCCTCCACCCCTTTATGGCTTTGCTTTGCCTGTAGGAGGCTTTATTTAACTATTGAAAAATTCTTAATGTACATGAGTTGTACACAAAGTGTAAAGAGTCCCCTAGTTGCATGTGTACACGCGCTATTCGTTTAATTAAGAAGGGACATGATTTGATGTCAAACCCCCCATAGTTTTCAGTAAACCTGCAATGCAATTCGCCACGTCACATGTCCATGTCATTAACTAGTCAAAAATTGAGCTTGCTAGGACATGAGCCCACGACCATGCAATTGGAATGCTGACCACAACCCGTTGGACTAAATGCTTCTTTTTAGAAATGCTTCCCTTTACATGTATTTAATATATTTTGTATATAGATTTATTTAAGTTCATGACTATTATTTTAACTCGTGAATTACTCGTTTCTTTGAAAATGTATATTACTTCTTCCTTAAATAGTTAAAGATTATAATAAAAAATTTAAATTGAAAAATTCAATTAAAAATTAAAAACCCAATTAAAAATTATAATAAGAAAGTAATTTAATATAACTCAACACTAAATCAATTAAAAAATAAATAATTTGAGATATGAAATTAACGTTTTTTTAAAATAGCTCAACACAGTATTATAAACAAATGACATGTGAGGCCTTAACATATCCCAATTCAAAAAATTAATAAAAAATGTTAAAAGTTCATCTAAGAATTTTTTATTCGTCTCAACCGAGCCCAACCTTGACACAAGTTCGATTCGATTTCAGCTTAAATTTTATTCACTAATATTTGTACATTCGAGATCGAATAAGATGGTCGAATATAAACTAAAAATAATTTTTCTGTTTTCAAAAAATATATATACTTCAAAATAAATAAATAAATAATACATTTATAAATAAATAAATAAATAAATAAATGTATATATAAATGTATAAATAAATATATAAATAAATATTATTCATTTATTTATTTTTAATTATAAATATATTTTCTGATAAATAGTGTGTTTTTTAGTTTCTATTAGACCATCTTATATGATCTCGAGTGTACAAATATTAATGAGTAAAATTTAAACTGAACTCAAGTCGAACTCGAGTCAAGGTTGGACTGGGTTGAGACGTATAAAAAATCTTAGATAAACTTTTACACGTTTTTTATTAATTTTTTGAATTGCAATATGTCAAGGCCTCACATGTCATTTGTTTATAATATTGTGTTGAGCTAATTTAAAAACTCATTAATTTCATATCTCAAATTATTTATTTTTTAATTTATTTAGTGTTGAGTTATATTAAATTACTTTCTTATTATATTTTGTAATTGGGTTTTTAATTTTTAATTAAATTTCTCAATTTAAATTTTTTATTATATTCTTTAACTATTTTAGAAAGAAGTAATATGCATTTTCAAAGAAACGATTCACGAGTTAAAATAATAGCCATGGACTTAAATAAATCTATGTACAAAGTATATTAAATACATGTAATAAGGGGGAGCATGTAACAAAACGGGTTGTTAGTCCAGCGGTTTCTGCTTAGCATTCCAATTGCATGATCGTGGCGAATTGCATTGCATATTTGCCAATAAGGATGAAACTACCCTATTCCGGGAAATAAGTTTAAAACTACCCTTAGTTGGGAAATACGTTTCAAAAGTACCCCTTCATGGTAGTAATATTGGATATGTTGACCTATAAACATTTTTCATCATTGTCGTATTCAATACCTTATTTATTGCTCTCATCAACTCTTCTGTTCTATTATTATCTATGTTTGTTGGATAAGATAAATCTTACATATCCGAAGATGAAGTTCTAGAATAACTTATTACATTTGAAC